GCAGAGGCTGGTCTGGCAGCCAAGCCAGCTTGGGTACCACCCACGGCCCCTGAGTCCGCATGGTGTCCCCTGTTCTCCCCGCTTGCTGGTGAAGTCCTTCTCTCGTCAGCTGCCTCGATTCACCCCACAGAAGTGGTGCCCACCCATGCCATGGCCCATGTGAGCCGTTTTCTGTGAACGCCCACTTTTCCTAACAGCTCAGGAACCTTATAAGCCTCATAACACAAAGGGTGGGCTCTTGACACTGAGTATCAGTGGGTGTGAGAGAGAAAGTCCCAGCACTGACCTCGGACGGGACTGGACATGCTGCCCTGTTTCACAGAGCCTCTGCGAGGGGAGTTGGTTGGATCCATCTCTGTATCCCTAACACATGGCTGGTGGGGGTAGTAATATATTGAAAGAATGAATGAAAATCAGTCTAGTGAGGAAGACAGGTACATACATAATGACAACACAACCCAGTGCTGGGATAAGACTAGAAGCACCGCGTGATCACAAGAGGAAAAGGCACCAGAGACACGGGATTTCCCGAGGCAGCACCAGGACTGGCGCCCAAGTCTCGGCCGCACTCCAGAGCGCCACTGCAGCAGATGGATGCTCTTGGGGGCGTCTGCCCAGCCCACGCTGCTCTCTCTGGGCAATCGACTACCCCCTGGACTGGGTCGCTGGCAGTCCCCCCAGCCATCGTTGATGGGCATTTAGTGCACGACCCAGATTGGCCATGAGTTCTCCCCCGGCTCCCCAATGATTTTGCTGTTGATGCCAGTCTATTGCTGCTGCCACCTGACCGAGAAGCGAAGCTGCTCGTATTTGGCCATGTGTGCAGAGACCCGGAGGATGCAGCGACCCGCTGCTCAGTGGCTGCTCAGGTCTAGCTCTCAGCCTCTTGGGGCTGGTTGCACCCTACGCTGGGTCCATGTGACACCCCTGATGTCTTGTGCTAACTTCCTCTCCTTTGCTTAAGCTTCCCTGGGTGGTTTCTGTTCTGTGTGACCAGGAGTCCTGGCTAACATCCTCATTGATGTCCCCATTGTGACCACCGCAAACACTTCCAAGCTGTCACAGCGTCCCAGGCTTTGTTCTCAGGGCTTCACATGCAATTACCTGTTAAATCCTCCTAACACTCCTATGAGGTCGGCACAACTGCAGTCCCTAGTTTTCAGATGAAGAAACTGAGGCCCAGAGAGGTTAAGTAATGTGCTGTGGTCACACAGCCAGTCAGCGGTGGAGCCGGGGTTTATATCGAGAGCCATGTTCAGCATCGCA